AAAGCCATTGCCAAGAGAATTGAAGTACTCCTGAGCTACAGTTAGAGAGGGCTACCTCTTCATGAGGAATAGGTATTGGTACACTTTGCAATGATGATGGTGATGGAAAGCTTTGCCTGCAAAATGGATGGTTAACACAGAATTAACATCAATTCAAAATACATGCCTAATTGCCAGCATCAAAGAAGTCATAAAGGCTGAAAAGTAAAGCACCTTGCAAGGCCAGTGCGTGGATCTCTAGCCTTTGCTGGAAGACTGCTTTCAACCGCTATATTTTGCACGTCGGTAGGTTTATGTGGCTGTACCTACAACAATTGACGACAAGAGGTTAGTAATTGTCACTGCTTCAAATGGTGTCCTATGGAGTAAAAGGCACCTGACTGTTGTTACTGATTGGCTGTTGTAGTGTCTCTATACAGTTGCTTCTATAGCATGGAAAGTATAGTATTGCATATTGCATCTTCCCAATTAATGTTCATATACACATCTTTTATCATGAACAATCGATACATGCAATAGCATTTAACATGCTTGGCTGCCACTTAAGTAGATACCTAGCCCAGCAGATGGCTAAAGACAAGTATAGTATGAAATTTAATAGATGGAGGCAAAGACAGAAGTATTGCAAAATTGATAGATCATGCACCAGATGCTATTGAAGTCTCGCAAGAACTCACAGTTATGTTCAAAGAGTTTCCATTTTTGCATATTAAAAAGGTGGCATTAGCGCTGGCAAAAATGAAATGCAGACAGTGCAAACCTCTGACAATGGTGTAGAACATTGGTCAACTCTTGTGTCTGAAGTTTCATGTAAACCAGAAATAGGACTGTTAGAAACTTTGAAGGCAGCATGGCTTGAATGTCCCTTGCTTTTTTCAATCAACCTGCTACCTTCACACAGGATAGCAGTGTTGCTGTCTGCCACATGCCCACTTGCAGTATTCTCCTTGCCCATCCTGTCAGGGGAAGCAACAACTATATCTGAAAATTTAAGAGACAAATTAGATATGATAGTACTCGGATGAATTGATGCAGGCTAAATGACCAAGTGTGCAACTAATAGGCAAATCTCATAAACCAGAATGCAGGCTAAATGCCCAAGAGTAACACATATATGGAAATTCTCATGTTGATTTGGTGCCCAAACAAAGTGGTTCTGTATGATTGTGCCTAAATGATGGTGCTCTAGATATGTACCTCACCTTGAAGCCTAGAACCTCAACTAGTGTGCCTAAATGATGATGCCTGACTTGTGTGCCTACACATTTTGTTATTCCCGTATATATAAACCTTCAGCTAGTCCTAACCACTAGGCAACCCCATGATTACAATGTGATTTGATAACAGAGTAGGTAAGCCAGCAGAGCCCTTTAAAACTACTTGTCTGAGAGGATGTGACCATTCAGCCTTTAAGTAAGTAGAGCAAGAGCCCAACATAAGAAAGGAAGTAATATACCTGAGGCACCCACTCTTACGCCAGTCTTGAATCTCTTGATGTAGCTTCTTGCATCCATTCTTTTTTTCCGCTTCTTCGAGGAAGAGCCAGCGTCCCCGTTGCTCGCTTGCTCACCCATCACTTGCTCCTCTGCATCCATCCTAGAGCCAGAGTTTATGTCTGAACCCCTTGACAGAGAATTGGGCACACTGCTCTTCTTAACCGCGCTCGACGCTCCGAGCGGCGCTTCCTCCACCGCTCTGTTCTGCTGCCTGTCACAAGACGGTGTCATCACATTTGCCCCCGTGGAACCCCTCTCCCGACCACCAGGAAGGGGTGTGCTCCGACCTGGGCTCCCCGGACCCGGCGCGCCTGGCCCTCCGTGTGGCCGCAAGCGGGGAGCTTCCGTCGCGGCCTCCGCGTTGCTCCTCGCCACGTTCCCACTGGTTGTCGGAGGCGCCCCTCCGGGCCGGCTGTTCCCCATTCCACCGCTCTGGAACCTGGCATCAGTCAGTCAGAGAACAGAAAATCAGTCAGATCGCAAATCCACGGAGCAGGAACCAGAATCCCAACTGGAAAGCCCACATCAACTGCGCGACGCG